GTTGTCGGGTGGCCTCTGCCGCTGGACGGCCTCTGCCGCCGGCTCCCCGGGCACTGCCATCAACAAGGCCCCGACGCGCAGCGCTGGCGGTTTCTTTTTTGCACGGCAGAGGCTGCACAGCACCAGATACTTGTGAGGGGGAACACAATCAGACAGCCATACAGAACACACCGTTCACCTTTATCTTTAATTAAAATAGAGTTTATTAGCTTTTCTTTTAATACAAACATGAGAAAGGAAAACCACCTGAAGATGTAGCGTTATTTTCAAAACTGAATTGTGATCAATACCTGAAGTGCCAAGTTCCATGGATCTGGGAGCCAGGGGCTGGCAGATTCGCACACCGTGGCCGGCGACATGCATCGTTTTAACGGCTGGGGGCAGCCAGGCAGATGGGTACTTGGCCAGCCCCGCTCGCAGAGGTCTACGGACTTGCTGTTCAGGGGGAGTGTCTGGGCCTTGGCTGGAAGAGGAAGTGCACAAAACCCGTGCCATTCGGAGGGAGAGCTGCTCCTAGGACAAACTGCCTAGAATCTATTTGGATCCAAGAAGGAAAGATACTACAAAGGCTTGTAACAGGAAGAGTCTAATAATACTTATCCTGTTTAGAGTTCAGTTTCAGAGCCTGAAAGTAAGCTCCGTTCCAAAGTCTCAGAAAGAGCGAAACCCGAGCCTCTAGCACAGTTGCACAAGATAAAATTCACTTTGCAAAAAAAAAAAAAAAAAGGGTTGTATAGACAGCTTTTGGTAATTCTCAACTGAACACAAAATTTTTCAATCCACCTGGTTGGGTAGTCCAGGATTCTGAAACTCATCACTGTCTCATTGTGAATGTAAATCCCTTCCAGGAAACAGACACCCCAGGAGAGCCAGATGGATGCACAATATCAGCTGTAGGAACTCCACTGTATATAGCACAAGAGATCTGCAGAGAAGCAGTGCGGCACACACGCCATCCACCACTGGGTTGCTACACTGTTTGGGATGGTGATGATGTTTCCAGACTAACTTTCCCATTCAATGCCTCAGAAAAATACACAGATTGCGTCTCTTCCAGAGCAGTACAAGTATTAGAAAACGAGAGGAGCACCATAATTCACAAGAAATGCAGCATGGACCCTGTACATTTTAACGATACATAAAACCACATCTCTGCCCCCAGTCAGAACATTCAGAGTCTTTTGACAGTCTCAACTGGAGTGACGCTGTGGGTACAGAGCTGGAATTTCTCCTGCTGGGCAGCCTCTTGGTTACGAGCAGATCACCGATAATAGCAGCTTTTAGTAGCCAAACCAGGGAAAAGCCGTCAACACGTGTCTATGCTACTGTTTTCAGCTCCAGAGTGGCTTTACGCTGTAAGAGTCCCATGTTTTGTTTTTGTTAACACTGCATCGACCTGAAATACAAATGCAGCAAGACTCTGGATGACAGGGGAGAGGAGGGAAGAACATTGTAACTATAGTCATGTGGTTAGTGTTTAAATTCTAAAATTTAAAACTACTTATTATTAAAAACCTCAGGAGTTCACAGCTATAGGCCTACATAGTAAGCAAACATCTGTGGGAGACAGAAGGAGAGAAGTTTGTTTTTGCACCTCTGGATACATTAGAAGGAGGAGAGAGTGGATTTGACAAAAGGTCTCATCTGTTGCACCAAGTGTGCTCCTCAAGCTCTGGGCTCCCTTGGCTAGTTTACCCTCCTCTCCTCCTCTTGCTGGAAGACACCATCACCGCTGGCCTGTGTGCATGGAGTGGTGGTACTCCTCCGGTTCACGTGGATGCTGGTTCACGGTGCTGTGCCCTTCTCTCTCCTCAGGAGAGGATGGCATTAGAACGGCGGATGCCAACTAAGTTATCAGCACTGAAAGATCGTCTCATAGCAGCTTTCGACAAGTCTTTGTATTTGTCTTCACACAGCCGGGAGATAGCCTGGACACCGTGTTCCACACAAAAGGAAATGTACACGTTAGAAAGGCTGAACATTTCAAGGAAGCTTTTACAACAGAGCAGGCACTTGGTAGCAGCAACACTACTGCCTTTTTTTACCTGGAATGAGAGTAACTAAGAACTACTTCGGAGAGAAAATATTACAGGCGTCTGTCCCCGTGCTAACAAGAGCTCTGTCTTCAGAAAGCACGACACAAAGGCAGCGAGCACTTCCCATGTCCAAGTACCTTCATTCTTTTACCAGTCTCACTACCCAATGGAAAACTTGGATCCATTTCAGACTTACAAGTTTGAGGAAGTTATGTTTAAAGCTGGGCCTAGTAGCCAGGTCTGGTGCACAGAGCACCACAAAGATTTCGTTTTACCAGCACAAACGCACACAGCCGTTTCTGTGAGAGAAGAGGTTCAAACGGAAAAGGTCTCTGCATTCCCCTCAGGGACCTTTGCCCTTGGCTGCTCCACACAAGTGAAGTTCTACTCACACATCCCTTTTGCCTTTACCTTCTCTACACTCTCAACATGCTCTTCCCAGGATCACTCACACGATCAGGTTCCTGAAAAGGTCGCAGAAGGGAGGGCAGCCCACTGCTCGATGGCATGGCACTAGCCATGGCACTTTAATGCAGCTATTAAACATCAGCACAGGCGCACAACTTACTATTTAACAGCTTTTCACCCATTTACTGGCCTGCCTCTGCTCTACTTATCTAGCTAGTCAAGCAGCCTTCACTCCCGTGCAGCTATTTGAGTAACAAGCCTAATTATTTAAATCCTAGTCACACAGGATTGTCCAAGAAAACAGCGTGTCCTCCCCTGCAAGGCCTATTTCTGACTGGAGCCTTCAGGCACTGTCAATGCCAATAAATAAGGATGCCTGTCATAAAAGGCTGAACTGAATTTCAGCCCTGAACATGTCCTTCCATTAATAATTTACTGCCAGCACCAGATGAACTTTCAGAGTCCTACCATCAGCTACAAGCCTACACCTCCCCTTTAAGGCAGCACCCATACAGTGTCTGGAAGTTCAAAAGGGGAAAAGCAGCCTGAGCATAAATAAACCTCTAAGTGTATTTTAAAATAATTATTTACATTTATTCCTGCTGATCCTCTGGAGGCATGCATTTGGCTCAAGAGTGGCCTTCTTGCAGACACTGGCTGCACGAGCTCTGGGTGCAAGACCAGCCAGACGCTCCATCCTGCTCTAATGCTAGCACATCAATCATAAGGCAACCTGGGTTGACTCAGTTAGCCCCAGTCGCCCATATGGTGTAAATCAGTTTTCAATCCCTGGAATACTAATTTGCTGCTTCATACAGGCTCCTATCGCTGCCTGTGTGCTTCTAACTGAAAGGTAGAACTAAACATTTTAGCACATGGTTTAAATATGTATCACATTTTAGAATTAGAACCCTATATCCATGCATTAGTAAGTGCATTGTGGCAAATCCTATACTGTAAATAAATTGCTAAATTGGGTGCTAAATACCAAGCCCCCAAAAGCGAGCAAAGAAGAAACAACACAGGCTCACGATCTGTACAGCATCCACTTACGCCTGGGCACGGAGCAGTTCAGTAAACAGTTTCCTGTGGAATATGAACTGCCCTACAACCACATTTACCATTAGTGACAGTGTCAGCTTGAAGTGCAAGTAACAAGGGTGAGACAAAGCAGAAGAGTTGCATTGCTTAGCTTTAAATAGAGGAATTCATAGGCATATCATACCTATCGTTCCAAAGGACCAGGAGGGATCACACTTATTCCCAAAGTTCAGGCACTTCTGGGACAAAATAAAGACCCCTGGCACTTGGCAGAGCTCCTGGGGGTGGACAATGGAGCAGTGTAAGCCCAGAATGCCACAGCACACCCCTCTCTGAATGGGGCTGTGGTGTCAGTGTACGCAGGGCCTGCGGTAAGGCCTTCGTTGAGAGGTCAGCACAACAACATGCCGAGTCATCAATTAAACCTGGACACATGAAAGGTTGCATTGAGCCAGCAAGAAGTTTTGCCTGGGAACCCAGGTAATTTAGGTATTTTTAAAATGTCGTACGTATCTCCAGCAACTCAGAAGATCAGCTCTGCACAAGTTCAATTTTTTAAATGAGCCTGGATACCAAAGGCAGCTGCGGGGACTCGCAGAAGGGCAGCCTTTCCCATCAAGCAGAAAGGGACAGTCACCTGGATTTGAGTTTCCCTGGACATTCTGAAGGGCTCCTAAAAAGCAGCTATTCCAAGTTTATCGTATGCAACTTCTTTGGGAAGGTAAGGTTCCAGAAGTTGTGAAAAGAAACATTACTTCTGCAGCTGTCCCCAGACAAACGGTTTATTAAACCACGAGAGCAGTAAGAGTGCTCCCTCTAAATGTAAAAGCAGCCATGCAGTGGGACACAGTGGGAAACCTTCAGCTGGTAGTAGTTAGAAAGGTCTGAGTGTGATTGTCTCTAGGTGCTGGGAATACAGACTGTGACCAGGGAAGGACAGACAATCCATTACATCTGACACTAATCCTTTCAATCTTAAGTAGCCTAGCCGAGCTGCGGTTCCCAAAATAGCGTCCGTTTTATTTTGCGATCTGCTAGACTTCCATAATCTCTGTCCCTTCCTTCCCTCAGAATACCAGCTTAGCCTAGGCATGGGTTTAGAAGTGCTAACTGTAGTTAAAAAGGGGTTAAATTAGCCCGTAATACACTAATCTAAAAGCTTTTTAGTTTTTCTAACCGCCACTTAACATGATTAGCAACAGATGCTCTTGCTGCAGAGAGAGACAGAGTCCCCTGCTCGGCCAATCTCGGACCATTACCTCCAGTTTCTGTGCCCTCTCTTTACTGAGAGGCTCCAGCAGAAAGCTCAGGTTGTTGTCATCTGCTAGGGAGCGAAGATCGAAGTAGTATTTGGCGTAAACACTGGCTGGAACATTGATATTAAACTGCAGTAGCTCCAAGAAGTGTCTTTCCATCTCGTTCCTAGGAGGCATAAGGGACAGAAGACAAAGGAAAAAGAAGATTGGTTTAGCTGGCTGAAAACACCAGAGACCTCAAGGCTGTTTTTAAACCCAGCAACTTTGAAATAGTCATCGAGAGCTCCACATTATTAGTTTCAAGAGACAGGTCATTCACTAGTGCTCAAAACAAGGTGCAGCTTTTGAGTCCTGGCACCTCCGGCTCGGAGAGAAAGGTAGTGCCCTGTCGCGCACTCGCTCGGCCGACCGCGGAGGTTCATTCTTCGGAGTTCCATTAGTGCAGCTGTACAATTCATGCGCCATTCTCACTCTCGGACGGCCCCACGCTATAGTGATCAGATGAAAGGAATGATGTATGCTGTTTATTAGCTCTGAAGAACTTGCAGACATTTTCACCAGGCTGATAACAGGAAGGGGGTTTATTGAAGTAGAGGCGGACTAACAAAAGGAGTAGGCAGATCACCACGGCAACAAATGGATCTATGAAGAGCTGCTGCTATTATCTCGCAGAAAAAAGCCTCTTGAAGCAACATGGATTCATCTCCAATAAATAAATAAATAAGCAGCATTAGGTGGGAGAAGGAATTTTCTCTTCAACAGCATTAGGCAGGATAACAAAGTACTGTGTCAAAGGGCACTGTCCAGTTTTTACTCACTCGTCTATTTTCACTGGGCAAAATATTTGGAGGAAAGCAGGGAGAGCGCGGTGACACGCAAGGCTACTGCAGCTACTGTACATGGCCAGCTGCATCCGAAGGGTTCTACAGAGGAAAAACGGTGGTTTACAACTCAACCTATAGGAAACGGGTGGTGCCCGAGCCACACGGTTCGGCTCAACACTAACTCAACGACTGTTCCTACCGGTAGCAGACCTGTCTCAACAGGATTTAGCAGCTGTATAGGCCAACCATGACTACACCAGATAAGTCGCACAGATTCAGTGCCAAGGCTGTTCTCGCTTTTTGGGAGCTTTTAAAATGATTGTTTTACCTACGGGGGGGTGGGAGGGGAATAAACCAAGGAATCATGCAGGTTGTGTCCCGCATTGGCTGGCGGGTCTCAGTATGAATAGCACCTTTGTGCTCGCTTCTAGCACAGTGGACTTGAGTACCATTGAACCTAGTGCCAAAATTAATTTCCTGTTCATATGGTCATAAGCCTATAGAAATGTAAATCAGATAATGTTTTGATGATCAGCTGATCAGAGCTTGATTTACCCTGTGAATCAACACTCTTCACTGCCCCTTTTGTACTCCCTACGCTAATACATTTTAATTGTGTAAAAATACAATCCTTCATTGGATTAACAAGTCTATTAGCAGTGGTTTAAAACCTGGGAAAGGGTAATGCCCATGTGTTTTCCGGGCCTTATGCACCAATCCATGTAGCCAAAAGAATGAACAGCGTGTGTGCCCTTACAAGCAGTCATAGCAAGATTAGCAGCTGCACAGTTCATTTTTCAGTGATTATGGATTCACTCTCATCAAAGCAAGCAAGTTTTGACAAAGGATGACTGCCAGATATCTATTTAATTTCCTTTGATTTTCCCCCCCCATTAGAAATAAGTAAAACAAAACAAACACACACTCCCAAAAAAACAAAAGAAAACCCCCTTTCAGTAGAAAACCCACCTTTGCTCTGTCAAACGAGAAAGGGCTTGTGACAGAAAAAGGGAGATGCGTGCTTTACCTGCTCTGAGTGGGAAGAGCCCCGAGGCCTGGCTCACACCCTTGAACAAACTAACCCACACGCAGTTCCGGAGCTGCTACCAGAGCTGCGAAGTGGGGCTGCCACACGGGTGTCGAAGCAGGGAGGAGCCTGTTTGGTGAGGATGAGGTGCACCGTCGAAGGAGGTGCCCGGCTCATACGCATACACGCAAAAATATTGGAACTACTAAAGCTGACAATTAGCTGTAGTGCTAACTATTAATTCAAAGCAGACTTACAAACCTAAAACTCCGTTTTGCTGGGAATTTTAAGCAATTACAGTGGCTGTTGCCCCACCCAGGAGCAGTGAAGCCTGCCGATGGACACCCCCCAGTCCACTGCCATAACTGGGTTGTACACTTTCTGCCCATACCTAAATTCAAAGGTCTAAGTAATTTCAAATGAGATGGGATTACAGAAGTCCCATCTTCAAATGGGAGGAAAAAATAAGCCTAAATTCAATCTATTTTCTTTACCACTATCACTACTTTGAAAATGTAAGTACTGACAATTTCAGCAGACCCAGCATCAACAATAGAGAATAAACATCCTGCTTGTTACAGATATTTTCAGTGCTATCAATTTGATTTGTCCCAAATAGGGCTAGAAGAAGAGACATCAAAAAGAGCAAGATGTGTACTCCTGCACTCCCAGCATCACTGACCCCACTTCAGCCATCTCAGAGTTACTTGCAGCAACGCTTCAAGTATGTTCCTCAGCGAGATCAGCACTCTGAGCCAGGTTGAGTGAAGATGTACATTGCATGAAACCACTAATTACGCTTTCCTGAGAGCAGGGCTGGCACAGCCCTCCATTTGGAGACAAAAAACTTCCAGGCAAGGGGTGCGTATAAAACAAGGTACCACATTTGCTGTTGGTGACGTGAAATAACTAGAACAAAAACTGTTTTGGTGCAGAAAACTGCCCTGTTTTCAGAAATGTTGCCCCCACCTAAAAGGGAGAAAATGGGATATTCCTCCTCTTGAAGAGTCTCAGATAAATAATTACTGTATTTTATATATTAACGGTAGGCTGAATCCAGGGAAGAGCCTGGGGCAAGAACACGCTCTCACACAGGCAGCCTCTCCGTGCCAAACCGTGCCACCTCGGTCTGCTCCCGCACTAGAACTGACTGTTACTACACAGGCCTGCGACGTGCTCAGTTACAGCACAGCGGTGTGATAACACTCACACACACGCAAGACGTCGTGAAGTTTATTAAGGGCAGAAAGCCTGACCCTGAGCTGCCTTCTGGCATTTCTACCACTGTGATAATAAGGGACACAGGGGAACAAGCTGGCAAATGGAATTAAAACCACCATGTTGACATCTCAAAGCTTCCAGAAATTTGCAAGAAGGAATTTAACAATCTAATGGCCCAAATCCACTCCACATAAACACACCTCCAGCCCGTAGTATGAGCCTGGAGCCACAAGGATGAACATCCTCTGAAACTACAGAAATTTACATCTGGGACAAAAATATATACAAGGAACTGCCTCCCATAAACAAGATTGAGAATTTTGTTCTCGGCACCATAGGCAAGTCTAAGAACTCCCCGAAAGGGGATGAGCTGTAGCTGGATGGCACACACGCAGCCACAGGCACCAACACAAACGACACCTATCTGCCAGCAGCAGCGGCTAGGAATTCAGACCTTGAGATGTTTAGGCCTTAGCTGGACACAAGAGCAGACACCAAAGTCACAAGTTACGGCTTACCCTGCTGGTTTTCAAGTTTTAAAACAGAATGGGCAGGGAACAAATGGAGTTCACTATTTTTCCCCTCTCAGACTTTTGATGAGACTACTAATTGGGTACCTTAGAGTTACGCCAATGCAAAAACTTAGTGGAAACAAGCAGCCAGTGCCATGGTTCATCACTGGGGGACAGACAGTGAAGAAAGCCAACTTTGCAATTACTCACCCAAGTAATTAGAAATATTAATATGGAGTTGTCTCAAAGCAGGGTTATCCAAAGAGTCATAGGTAAAAAAGGGAACGAGGACAGACACCAGATACACATCATGTACATACACTAGAGCTTCAGGCACAGGCATTTTTTCAGTATGATCACAAAAGAAGAAAAACAAAAACCAAAGACCCCACCACTGCAGATTCACCAAACACTGCAACTTACATGTCCTCAACAGTTATGTCCTTCAATATTTGGCAATAATCCACATTCCACACAGCCTGATCATCCCAGACTTTCGAAGCCAGCAGAATAGCTCCTAGGACTATCCTCTTCCAGTTACTAGGGCATATGTCAATCTCTGCATATGTTAAAAGCCTTTCCAAATAAACCTACAAAAAAGAAAGAAAAACCCAACAGTTTTGTGTGCAATTAAGAGCTGGAGCTGAGTTCTGAGCTGCAAGTTTGCCAGTCCAATCTATTTTATCCCATTACCGTTAAGTGTGCCAAAGTAAGTATTAGCGCTTACTACTTACACTTTAGAATCCAAACTTTCAGAAGTTACAGGTTCCATATTTTATTATAAGACAAGAACTGCACCACCAAGGTACACAGTAAAGACACTGCAGAATCACTTCTGAGCAATGAGGACTGCTGTTTCAGGGAGACACTGCCAGAGTTCTTCCTGCCACCGAGTCAGATTCACCAACAGGCTCTCCTTAGGGCCTGTCTGGGCTAGTAAATCACAGCATGACACTAGCCTTCCATCACGGTTAAGGTTCAGCACTTGTAGCTCGACAGGAAGTGCTCAAACCTACGCTGTGATCTCTAGTCACGGGGCCAAGATGCATTAATCACCATCTTTCCACCATGAAAGTGTAAAGTGCTATTTCTACTTCACCTATGTACTTCACATACTAAGTAACTTGCACTGTCAAATTTGACTACAGATTGGGTTTAATGTTGTATTCCCTAAAGCAGTGAAACCTCAGATAAACTAGTGGGTGCAGGAAGCTGCTGTACAGGTCTAAGGGCAGGATCAATCTTTATTACTAGGGTCTCCACACACTTCCTTCCCATCCTTTGCTTGCAGCATTCAGGTGGACTGAAGGTGTTCCTACAATAACGGGGCCATCTAGTGGTAAAATCCACTTCAGAGTGCCCGGGCTTAATTCTCATCGTCTTCCACCAAAGTTGCTTGCATGTCTTTGGAAAAGCAAAAACCTCAAACTACTCTCAGTTTCAATAGCTCCAACTCTCTGGCCTTTTAGTTACTTATTTCCTTATTAAAGGGAGTCCTTCGAGCTGAGTTTGCTTAACTGCCACATTGTCTTTTCATGACAGTTCTGTTCTCCGTTCAGACTGTTTTTCAGAAAGAAGCCACAATGAAGACTGAAGTCTAGTACGCAAAGTGTGGTTTAAGAGATTGCCTAAAGCAGCAATTATCTGTGTTGTGGGCTTTTTAAATTTCCCTTCATACACCTATATGTACAGGTATGCCTCTAGGTGTGTATAAATAATATCAGTATTATCATCAAATGTTTATAGCCCTCTTGCTTTCTGAAATCAAACAAACTGTAATGAGATTATTTTCTTACTATTGTTCTAAGGTTCCAAGTACCTCCATGTCACCTGGGGAAAGTTGTAGCCTCTTGGGTTTAATTAAAAACCAGTTTGATAGTAAGGTGGCAGTGACGGGAGGTCATCATAATGAGAAAGTTCATCTCCTGGAGTTCCTACAGTAATGATCCTTGACTCCTTAGGTGATGTTACTGGCACTGTTCTGCTCAATATGAACTCACAACTCCCACTTTCCCCTCCCCACAACTGAAATAAAAGATGTTTTTGTGTCTGACCTTATTACGCCCCACTGTTTTCAGTGTCCCACTGTTCTGCCTTTCTCAAGCTTCTTCAGCAAGTTATATATTACAAAACAATGTTTGATCAGACAAGTAATTAAGGATTACGTAGTCATATGCTGAAAAAGTAAGTTCCTTTTTAGTTACCCTCTCTTACCAGTGTCACTATTGCACATTCAGCTGTCAGCTGTGCAGCACTGAAGAGCGTATGCTTGTGGTCAGGATCATGCTTGTAGTAGTCATCTGGAACTTCTTCCCGCTGAAAGAAAGTTCTCTCAGTTACTGGAATTCTGTCTTACATAATGCTGACTTGAACAGCCACACATGGTGGTCTCTTCTCACCCAGCAGAAGTGTATACAACCCCTCCCTGTCACAGGGACAGAGCAAGATCGTACACTGAAAGCAGCGAGCGGCCTTGCAGTATTACGATTATTCCAAACAAAACAATAGCTTTAGCCAATACCTTTGTTTTGAACACTTTCTTGACCTCTAAGGCTAATTTTACAGACTAAGAGATTAAACAAGGGTTTCTCCCTGTAAGAAAATCAGAGATATACACACCAGGGAAGCACTGACTCTTCAAAAGGCAAAATTAAGAGACTTCCCAAGATTCCCCTTCCAGCTGAGGAATTAATTCTGTCACAGGTAGAACTGGAAGGTAACTTATGCTGTCATCACAGGACTCATTCTTGAGAGATTCCAGAAAGGCAAGAAAGCTAATCAACAGCTAGATTTAACCTTGCACTCTCCACACAGCCTTCCAACAGACTGCTAACCAAGGGAGGTTACCTCTTCACAGTGGGCGCGCAACATTAGGAACACCACGAGCATGATTCCTGCGCTACGAGCGGTACAACAGCCCGTCTGAAGTACGCTTCTGCTGACTGGAACTGAGGAGGAAAGGACAGACTGCTACTTGTGACTAAGCCCTGTGATGCAGATTAACTCGAAGGCTGCTACTTCTGCTACTGGGATCAATGGAGCCTGGATTTGGACTCCTTGTGACTCAATCTTTAGAGGACAAGGTGTTCAGAGATTTCTTCCAGCTAATTAACCTTTTAACTGCAGGTACCCAGCCAAAACCCTACGGCTATAGAAACTACCGAGCCACTTGTATCTTGCCCCTCAGAAGTAGGGCAGCAGTCACTCCTGTAGTTCTGTCTGCGTGCTGCAGTAAGGTAGAGGAGACCTTTAAGTGTTCCCTGAAGGGCACAGTGATTCTCCTCTGTTCATGCTGACTGAACAGCAAGTAGGCTATACGAAAGGATCAAAAGATGTCAGGTTGCTAAATAATTGAAATAAATAACAGAAATGGTCTGATAAAGTAGAGGTCATCTTACATAAATAACTCTCAATGTGAACAACAGATTTGGGCAGTTAGAACAGTTTGGGACCAGACTTTTCTCTTGAAGTGCCACAGTCCACATAAGGCATTTTTAATATAGCTCTTCTCCTGAAGCTCGTTACTTTTGTTGAGTAAAGAGTTGGATTTATTCAAGCATACAATTCCTAGCACAATGGGTCATGTTTAGGGATGAAACTCTAACAAACTTAAAATACTTAACTGTTTATTAAAAACTTTTTGTTAACAAGCCCAATCTGTGAGATAAGTTAAGCTGCACTCACTCAGGTAAGTTCCAGAGCAAACTGGTTTTTTAAAGCCACTAGAACCTTCCTAAATTAATTTCAAATGAAGGGTGAAGGAAGTGGCTCTGCAGGACAGCCATTAAGGTAGCAGTGCCCAAACTGGACATAAAAAGCACACGCTGCTCTTGCACTTGCCTGTACTATGAGGTTTTGCATCTTAAAGGTTGCCTAACAAGGTGTGCCAGGACCAGCCACATCAAAATCACGTGCTGAATGCTCCTAGCTCGTACTTAAAGCAGATGATACACTTAATGCTGCTTGCAAATTTTGCCCTTCAGGCTTTTTAAAGACCAAACTCGATGTCTCCTGCTTTGTGTGATTCTTCATGTATTATGTTCTCCTGTTTGCAGTCATTTAAAAGGTTAGGCACGTATCTACTAACTATGGTTTACTAAATAAATAGGAAGCAGTTTAATTAATGTGGTGTTGAAGAAGGAAAGAAAGGACTCAGACAGGAAAGTTCAGATATGAAATATGCAAGAATCAGCACGTGCTTGCTTTCTATTTATATTCAAAGCGTACACAAATCAAACATACTTTGCAACACTTAGACTGGGTTCTGTTCATGACCTAGCTGATAACAAAGTCCACAGGACACTCTTTGCCCCGTATTTTTTACACATAAAAGATACAATTTAAGATCAATTTGCTTGTGACTTGCTGCTAAGACATTTTTATGAATTATACAATACACATCAAGATGCTAAAAAATACGTGTATCAATACACATTCAAGAGGATCAAGAAGTTACTTACTGTGAGAGGATGAGATTTTTCATCAAAAATATCCAATGATCTGTCCGAATCTCTACAAAGCAAGAGTCTCTGGTTTAGCAACAAGAGTAATGCTACACTCCACTAAAAAGTATTACTCATTAAAGAGCACAAAGGGACATACTTTGTAGTTAAGCTTTTCCTAGAACATGGCAGGAAGTTCTGCTGTATTTTTGCAAAGCATTTAATGACAAGATCTTATAACTGCATATTTAAGAAGCTGTTCATATTATCATATCATGCTTAGTGCTCTTCTCCCTTAAAATGTGAAACTGTCTCGTTAATAGCTTTATTTCAAAAAGGCAGCTGTAATTTTGCAGCATATGCTGTAGCTAGCTGTAATGCCAAGGGTTATTTGTACATGGGACAGAGTGTTCCTTTGCCCATCAAAACCAATCTGTATTCAGGAAAAGCTAAACAAAGTCCAAAGGCTGATGTGTGGCGAGTTAAGCGTATTTTCCTTTTTGCGTTTTTTATGCTTCATTCGCAATGAAGCATGCGCCACTGGGTAGGTGTATTACTGACCCTGCCGTACCAGCTCGACAGGGGTACAAAGGGGAAGCAGATACAGCGTAACATGCCAGGTATTTCAACTCCTTTAAGTCGTTCCTGAGGTGACCAAGACCATATCCCTAGCTCAAAAAGAAAGTTCTTATATTGCAGAAAAAAATTCACTCACCTGTTCTTTATATGGTAGAATATTGCTAATGTGACACTAAAAAAGAGAAAGGGGAAAAAAAAGACTTAAAGCATATTCTGTGCATGCTATCCGACTGCAACAGCTGTTGTTCATGGCAAAACATTCAGAATCCATTATGCACTCGCTTCCTCTCACATTCTCGAGTACTTTGTCTCATCTCTGATGTTTACCTGCCTGAACCCAAACTGGCCAAATCAAATTTGCTAGCCAAACTGCTTTTACATTCATTGTACAGATATTTGTGCCATGAAATAAATGCTGTGCCACATTAAGCATTACACCTTCACTGCGTGATTAGGAGACATTAACTGAAAATGTGGACTATTCACAACTACAATATAGTAAGAGTTCTACTTGATGTTAGATACACTGTTGTAGAGGTCCTGATGATGTTTTAAGTACATGTCTCTGGCTAATTTAGGACCCATCTAAAAAAGAAAAAGGAGAACAATCAAGATGATATGCCAGCATAATCCAAGAAGGGAACAAGAAGAGATCTCAGTCTCTGCTGACTCAGGTAAGGCAACAGATTTCATACTGACACTCATCTACTGCAGCCAAATTTCAGACACTGCTGGCAGTGACAACAGGAACCCTGCCATCACAGGAATCCACTGTGGGCAAGCTCTGATCTGTTGCCAGCCGTACACTGCTTCAAAATAGCACAAGCACCATCTTTTGGGTTCTTTCTTCTCCAGAAAAGGAGTGACATGCTGGATACCTTTGTCCAAAACCAGACTTTAAAGCAACGAATCAACTCAGACATTCCTGAACTGTTAAAACAGTAAAGCCTTCTGGCCCTGAAGCAACTCTGCTTTCGTTTCCCTTCAAGCACAGCAAGACTCTTCTCAGTTCCCGGCTGGTATCGCGCAGGTGCAAAGAACTGTCTCTGTGGTACGCAGAACAAAGATGGTCAAACACCCGTGTCCACTGGAGAACCAAGACAACTAAATTCAACTCACCTACCTAAAATAACAAACATACCAAGAGCAAATGGAAAGGCTAGAACTAAAAACCAAAGGCAGCCACATCCTGTGATCCACGGCTAGAGGGCAGACTAGCACCGCTGGCAAGTGGCAAACACTCCTGCAAACCTTTCCGGCAACTCCATACAAAGCCCATTGCAACTTTTCCCCAGATCGCGAGTGTCTGGATTTGGCTTTCAGTGTGAACCCTTTGAGGCCCCCACCCCAACACATGCTCCTAAACCCAAAATGCTGACACTTCTGCACTGCCTCAGATTCACAAGTGCACAGTGATAACTGCTCTGAAATACAGCAGGACCTTGGCTCTGCAACCAAAAAAAAACACCTCTCCGACCCTTCCGTGACCAACCTGGCTAAGCAGTGCTGTGCTCCTCTCATTCAAGTGTGCGACCGGCTTTGGGACTGATGAGAGCACCACAGAATCCCAAACCAACCTTGCAATGCCACTCGGCCCCTTGTTGATGACAAATGGTTCTTACCACTTTATTGTGCTCCTAAGGTTAGGCTGACTGACGGTGCTGTCATCTATAAATATTGTTGAGCATGAGCTGTATTTTTTCGTAAGCTGCCCAGGAGAAACCTTAGGGGTGGGAAAAGAAAAAGAACAGAAATACATTTCAGAAGAGAGACTCTGTGTGCTTTGGTTACCACACTGAATACTAGCTTTGCACCTCAAGTAGTTACTGCAGAGGAGGTCTTTGCAGAGGATTGCTCCTGCTATGTAAGCTACTCTACAGCCATCAAGTCCCTGTGGATCCTCTGTGTAAGATACCTTTACATTCTCTGGTTATAATCCTGTAGATTCTGTACTGTAAGAAATCTTCCTACATAACACTGTCAGGCTTCCCTGACCATTGTCAGATAATGCCTTCCACTAGAGCTAGGACATCATAATTGGGGGAGGAGTCAGGTAATTCAAGATTCATTAGTTTTTGCCAGACTCCTTTTAAATGCCTTGTCTACAAACTTGAAAGTCTTCCCTAAGAAAACGCTGGCACCCTTCACAACTCAGTGGCTGCCTGGGAATATCTCCCATTCCAGCTAAGTTTGTCACAAAAAAAAAAAAATCAGAACTGTAAATGATAAAGAAAGAAGAAAACACCACATCCCGTAATCATACTAAATACAACAGGCTTGAAATATCATTACCTTACTAGTAACTTAGCAGCAGACACACTTGCTAGACAGTTTAAGCTTGGTGTTAGTAACTTCCATTCTTACTTAGCTTTACTAATCAATAATTTTTTATCCACTTTATGACACTGCACCTTTTTTTATGGTTTTTGGGGGTTTTCTGGTAAGCAAAGTGTCAAACGCAACTCATACTTGCAGAAGCAGCTTAGAGGCTATTTTCAGATTTTAAGAAGAACTGCTTATCGTTCATCACGCCAATGATAACGTTTGCTTATTCCCTTTCCATGCTGGATACATTTCTTACTCTAAGTCCTGCGGTGATGCTCAAGCAACAAGTCATTTAAGGCTTGTCTTCTCGGCTGAGGAATTAATCCAGTTTGGTTTCTGTTTAAGAGACAGTGTAGGCAGTCTGACTTACATTTGCTCCGTAACTGTTCTGAAATGCTCAAGACTGACACAACAAAAACCCCATTCTTATTCTTTTAACATCAGCCATTCTATGCTCTGTGATACTGTGCCTGTTTGCTTTTTAAGGACAGGCAAAGATAATACAGTTCTGTCTTGCTAAGGAGGATCTGGAACACATGTAGGACTATAAGCCTAGAACTACTGCAGCTGTTTCTTGAACTTGTCTGTCCCAATACACTAATATTACCTATGTAGCGCACCAAGAATTTGCTTTACTTACATGGTTGATGTGGTTACTTTTCCTCTTCTCTCGCACTAGAAAGAGGGAGAAAAGACACAAACTTAGAGGTTTCTAAAATACAATCCCAATTTGCATTCAGTGAAGTCATGCTATTAACCTAGTCTTCTGAAGTACATGAGTATTACAAGTTTCAAATTTGACATTAGGTGTCTGGAAAAGTAGTTTGAGGAAAAACCAATGAGTTTTATCAAGCCAGTAAACTACATACTACTTACAACTATCCCCACATACATTTAGGAACTACTTCTACCCATCACACTGGGGGAACAATGTCTCGTCTTAGAGAAGATGCTGTGCATCGTGAAAAACTGGATGTTTTCAGGTAGTTCAAACAGGCAATGTCCAACATGCAACAGCAACCACTCAGCAAGCGGAAGTAAAAGCATCACACGCTGAGACTGCCAGAGACACACAGGGAGGAAGGTGCCCAGCGTTAAACACGTGTTCCCCCAAGCTATGTCTACCGTGTAACTGCACCCACGTTACGTGTTCGTTCTACACTGTGCACAGTCTTTAAAAAAGATGGCAAGGTTTAACTTGCAGCTGTAACAGCAGCAGTGAACCAGTGCTGTTAAAGGAAAGCCGAGCTGCACACATGCAGAAAGCTCTACAAACGTGACCAGCCTGGGCAGGCTACTTCTCCAAAGGTTTGACCTCAGATCATTACACATTACCACGTGTTGGCAGGACACATCTCTTAAATATTTAGAAAAATTAACAATTGGAAGAGAATATACAAACTTTTTGGTCTTTCTACATAAATCAAAAGTCATAATCCTGATAACCTTCCACAGAACTACTAGAATTACTAGCCAGGTCCTCTCACTGAGGTGTTAAGTAAAGGAGATTCAGTGAAATTAGAAAATGAATTCTTCTGCTTGACTTGTCCATATGAATACCCCCTAAAAATCAATTCATCCTACTAATACAAACTTCATAGCGTAATTCAAGAGTCACCTCACCTAGCAGACCACTTCTCTGTATGAACCCAAGCGTCTACATTTCCGTACATGTGGAGAACACCGAATCACATTTGAAAGCAATGCTACCCCCAGCAAGGACGTTGACGCCGCCTGAGCGTTATCGGCAGCAAGGCTGAAGGGCTGCATGGTGAAGCTGTACTACAGCATTCGAGAACTGTGGCAGCTTGCTAACTGCAACTCAAGCAGCGCTCACCTAAGAGGTGTTGGAAACGTGCAGGTCAGATCCTCGGCCTGTCTGAGGACTGAGCCCTGGTAGGCATTGTCTATTCCGGACGATGATCATGCTAGCACACGTTTCCACCGCTCACCGATTATCCGAGCATTGCCAAGATGATACAACTGACGATTTTACTCCCTGCCCTAAGACTCTGAATAGCAGGACTGCAGCTGACAGACCTGTCAAAATAGTCCTACTTTTCTGTGGCAAAGCTACGCCAAGGCAGGAGACACACTGCAGCTTTCCATCATCACATCCAATTGCAAGCGCAATGCGGTCTTGGACAACACGGTGCTTCAAACAAGAACCAGCTACAGAAGGAACACAAGCGTTTTTAAGAGTATCTTAAACTCCTTTTTAGTTGCAACTTCGAAATTTACTGTCATCACAAGTTTTTGTTTGCGCAACATGGTGATGCCTACACTTTTTAACAGCATTTTGGAATGCAAAAGCTATAGTAATTGTTCAAAATTGACTATTAATTAAACAAGGGATCTGCAAAGAAACTGAAAATCTCAACACATCCGTGTAATTAAAGCAGGATTCAAGAATAATTATGCTACTAAAACTATTCAAACAGCTTAAAACAACATATTCAAAAGCAACTGACATATACTGATGGCTTAGACTTCTTATTCCTTACACAGAACTGGGTTTTTTTTGTTTGTTTGTTTGTTTTTTAATTTAAAGCAGTATTTAAAACAGTCCCTGGCCATAAGAACCCACCCCTCCTTGAAGTTTGAGTTACACTAGTGAAGAAAGCCTTGCTCCTTCAGACTGCTAGGATCCAGACTGAAACCTCCTGATATTTAAGTGTTTAGAAGAACAAGTGATTTTAAGTGTTAAGTAAAACAGCCTACGAACACCTTTCTGTGTAAACATGCAAATTAATGTATATTTAAAGCGGTATATTTAAAATAGGCAGTTATTTTCCCAGTTTTTCTCCCACCTTTTTTTAAATTGGAAAAAAAACCCCAACTTAGCTTACCATCTGTTTGAGACTTGCTCAGGAAAATTGTGCTTGCTCTGGGATGATCAGATGGATTAGACTCCAAGGCTAAATCTGAAAGAGAAAGGACAAAAAGAGGGGAGACCTTTAACAGAAGATGATGATTACTGCAAGGATTCCCACCCAGCCTTAAAATGCTCAGGCATAGCTTTGGAGTCAAGATCAGAAACACACAGAATGGGCTGTCTCTCTAAAGCAAAACCTTACTTTTGCCAAGATAAAAATCTGACATTTTCTCCTCTGAAAAAAAAGCCTGTGGAGTTATTCCTACTGCCATGAAGCTCTGAAGTAGCTTATGGTTTCCATCCAAACAAGATCTGGAAAGGGAGATCTCAGAAAACAGCATACATCTTCACAGGTCAGTATGATGAGGCTACCCCCCTGCCTGTTAGGGTAGCTGGATGCAGAGCCTGTGCTCCAGGCAGCAGCAAAGTAGAACTTTATCAAGAGCATAACTTAAAAATAAATTAAAGACACTGATGATCTTTCACTCCATGCTCTAAGTACCCAGTATGGCAGGCAACAATCTCTGTTGTCATGTAAAAACCCAATAATTAACTTATACACTGCTGACCAATATCAAAACATGGATGTCACCATTCTGCTCTTTCAGAATTTCAAGTTAAACCCTGTACAGCTAATATGTAATTATTGTTTAACGATTGCTTTAATCCTTTGCCACTATGAACCAGTGATGACATCAGATGATGGTATATTATTCCCTTAGATTAAGATGGGAGTGATCCCTGAAAAGTTTGTTGATGAAACTGTTAACACGATGAAATTTTGAGCTGCATCAGCCCTGACAGAAGAAGCAGCTGTCCTGAGTAAGTCGTGCGACAGACACCCTGATGTATGTGAATGTAGAAGAATCTAGTACTGTGCTCCTGTACATCGTGGAAAGAGCAAATCCGCATCTGTTGACATCTGCCATTCTGCTCCTCTTCTGTGCTATGTATGCCTGCTAACCACGAAAGCATGCAAGCTCGGGAACGTGCACCTCAGCGTTTCACAGTGACACGCCAATGCGGCTGTCACACCCTTGAAAACATCATCTAGGAATCTCCATCAACTTTTAATGAAAAAAACAACCCTTACGAGGTTTTTATGCACTCGACCAAGAGAACTGTGGTTCAACAGTAGCCTCCGTATGCCCAAACTGTCTTGGTGCTGGAAGTCTTCACTACACGACTGTTTCGTGGTCCTGCACCTAACCCAGCGCGCAGCCACAGCCCTCACGCGTCAGCGAGTGAGCGTCACCGCAGGAGTACGTGTGTCCCCAAGACTTCTCATTCCAGATTGCCACTGGTACACAACACTGGTATCCAGACCTGGGCGTTTTCCAAGTACTTGGCTTACAACATCACTGATGTTAGTCCAACAGCATTGCTCTGACACGGGCCCAGGATGCAGACCACTGTAATTCTGGATCTCTACTGGATCAGTGAGGTAGCCTACGGCTATTCAGGAATACAAAGATTGTTCAATCAGGAATTTCTCCCCCTCTCAAAAAAGACCAGTCAGCTATGACAGCAGACCACCTCAAGCCGTTTTAAAAGCTAACTTACAAACCCAGCACTTCTGTTTTCACCGTACTGTGCTCGTTCATGGCACACAGCGAATAGACACCTGACTTTAATCATGTAGTTAACAAAAAGTCCTGTTTTAGAAACCCTACAACGGAATTTGCCTTACAGCTCATACCTGAAGTACCACTAACACACGTTTGATTCTCTGAAAACACCCCAGCACACAACAGTACGCCACGCTGGCAGGCTTTAACTACCCTTTGTAACGTCTCAAGGTAACAATGGAACTGTTGTTTAAAACCTGTCCACAGCGTTGACAAGTTTCTAACACTGGTTCAGCAAAATCACTTGTAAGAGACAGAGACCAACTCCTGTTTCTAATGCTAACAGTCCAGTAAGAAAACAAACAACAAGCTTTGACACAGACCAAGGAATTCAGTAGCAAATATTAAGCAACTTTTTAGATTTGAGAAAGGGGTGATTCAGAAACAGAAGTATTTTTCTAGTCTACCAAATACGTTAAGTATCATCAACGGGCAGAACAAGACTGCAATATGCAGATTTAAAATACACATTATTATTAGCAAGTTACGATGCAAACAGAGCAAACAACTCAGAATTTGTTTACTTCCAGTTCAGCAGCCACTTTTAGAATAACTGGGTAAGTCAGGTGAGAAAGGACCTGAGGAGGTGTCTAGTTCAGCCTCTTGCTGAAAACAGGGTCAGTTATGAGGCAGAACTAGGCTGCTCAAGGCTTTATTCAGTTGAGTCTTGAAAACCTGCAACGAGGGCCTGCAGAGCATCTCTCCCAACAAGGGAGGCCAATGCTACAGGGCCACGGGCCTTACTATGGAATGGTAGGGAAGAGCATGTAGAGCTGTACAAGACTTGTGTGATATTTAAGGGGAAGGCAGCAAGGAAGACTGGGGAGGAACAAGCACAGGAAAACAGAGGGAAAAGGACTACTGAATTCAGTAACTCCTAACACAGGACTTTGTGTTTGTTGGTGGTGAATTTCGCAGGGCTCCTGCTGGCCCAATCCTCCAGCCTCTCTAGGTCCCTGTGAACAGGCAGCCTTCAGCATACTGACCGCTGCCCCACTGGGCATTCCCTGCAATGTGGGCACACTCCACTCCCTTCTCCAGGTCACTGATAGAAAAGCACCTGTCCTGGTTTTTTCCCCAGGGAAGAAACAGTACAGGACAACAACCATCCTCCCTCAACCCATAAAAACCCCCAGTCTTCCCCAAGGTTTTGATTTACAGGGAATTAAAACATGCAGAAACGGGAATGAGAGAAATGAGAGAAGCAACAGGATGATATAAAAAAGCAAGACAACTCCAAACGACTTTTGTTCTAGAGGCTATCCACTCAACAAAAGTCGAAACACATTCTGTGTCGGGCCCTCACAGTTAGTGAGGAAGGAGTGAGAAGGGAAGATTCCCACCAGAAATTATCAGTGGGAGCAGCACAGTAACAATGGCACGCTCCAACAGCCTTCCAGCTCCGAGAACTGTGTGTTAGAGTCTTCTCCCTTACCTCTCTGCATCTCCCAGTGCCATTTACTCACATGGTAGCACCATGCTTGTCAGACCAACCCCGTGTCCAACAGGGGCACGGAGAAGCCTGAACTTGCTTCCGACTCACCATTCTCGTTGCGAAGAGCCCCGGCAGGCCGCTTGCCCTTCAGACAGTCTCAGCTGCCCCTGCTGCTGCCCTGCGCTCCGTGTGCCGAAGAGCGTACAGTCCCCCACGGGGCAGCTCACATTACTTTAAACGCAAGCCTGTCCCTAGCTCAAGATCTCTCATCCTTTCCTCAACACAAAATCCGCACGAAGACTTCACTTCTACTCATCTATGCCGTATAAGGACGTGTGTGGGTTTCAGGAATTTAGAATGCTGGCTACTTATCTCCCGTTTTGCACACCTCCACCGGCGCTTCCGAACTATTAAGAACACGTTTTACATGCTGTGTCGTGCTACATACATTACCTGACCAATAAAGCTGACAGTCACGTCGCTGTTACTAAGTAGCAGCCCTTTGACAATTTCACTACTTCAGAACACTAAAATATTGCAGTTCCTTTAACAGTTTTAGCCCCATCCTCTGCTTTACTGGACAGTGCCAACATTTGGATACTGCACATATTTAAAGCATTAGATCATAAATCATCTCTCTGCTGTAAATTGAGTTTCTTCCCTTGCTCACTGGGTTGCTAGCTTTGATTAATGTTTAAGCCCCCCTTTATATTTCATTAGCTTACACTGCGAAAGATGCAAGTTACTTAACACTCCCAATAAAGACTTAAAAATTAAATCAGACTAGCAGATTTGCTGATACACTTCAGAAAGTCTGTTATTCCTAACAATAACTTCATATAAAATGACTTGGCCTTTAAATTACGTTATTCTACTTCTATTCCCAAAAGCTTTCCTAAAAATTACAATTCTGGTTTCTAAATCCAACCTGCTTTGTTTCCTCCTCAGCAGCCACAGCGACAGCACCATAGAACCCAGCACACATACGCCGTCTGCCACTTGCCCTCTCCCGTTACGTCCTCAGGTCCTCAGTTACGGACAGGTTAGTCTACCCTTTAAACACTCCATGGGTGGCTTCTTCCCCAGGTTTGGACAAAATGAATGCACTTTGATCTCCTGATCATTCATCTTCAACAGAATACATCACTCTTCCATAATGGGATGGACTCCAAGACAGAAAACTTGCTCTGTTTTGATAGCCAATACAAGCAAGTTTGAATACATAAAGGACCGGATCTGTTGCATAACAAAGTACTTTTAAAACCCAACCCAGATCTCAGAAAGGAACTCTATTCTGAGGGAGAATCTAGTGAAAACAATCTTAACCAACACTTGCATACACACAGGTCCCTTAAAACCACTCCCAAGTCCCCCGAGGAAATCAAGCCTTTATTTAAAAAGGAAAACAACCACCCACACAGTTGGCCTTTGTTCACAGAAAGACAGAATCGTTGAGGTTGGAAGGGACCTCTTGAAGGCAGGGAAGTCCAACCCCCTACTCAAGCAGAGTCAGCCAGAACAGTCGGTCCAGGACTATGCCCAGTCAGGTTTTGAGTATCTCCACAACCTCTGAGCAACCTGTGCCAGCGTCTGAGCACCCTCCCTGTTAAGTCATTATTGCTGAAGACCGTGACTTTACGCGGCAGACACACAACGATGTCGTAAAGCTACTAAACATCTGTCCGTTGCTCCCCGTGGCACTGCTACGCGAACAGCGGTATTGTTACCGATACCCAGCACGTGCCTAAGCGCACTCTGATGTTTTAGAAGGCTGCACAGATTCCTTCAGTATACAAGATCTCTTAACGCAGAATGAATTATTTGCGCTTTTGCACCACACTCCTGAGTTGGGCTGGTTCAACAAGAAGCTGACACACTAAGCATTACAAATTTGCTACTAAAATCAGAAGCATTTGGAAAGCAGGGGTGTAGACCATTTATTAAATACGGTGGGCTAGCCAGGGTTCAGGTTTCCTATTAATTTCTGTGGTGTGTAAAAAAAAAATTTTTTTAAAAA